AATGCTGAGGATAAATCAAAATGAAGAAGGAACCAGACAGCTGTCATCTTAGACCATTAACAAAAACCAAATTGCCCTTAAAATCAATTGTAAAAAAAATTGTAAAAAAAAAAAAAAAAATTCATGAGTCATAGTGAAAATTCAAATGTTTAAAAAGGATGAACTTCTGATGAGCACTGGGTATTGCATTCAAGTGTTGGATCACTATATTGTATAACTGAAACTAATATTACACTGTATTTTAACCAAATGGAATTGAAATAAAAACTTAAAAAAAATAAAAAGGAGGGCGCCTGGGTGGCTCAGTCGGTTAAGCGTCTGCCTTCAGCTCAGGTCATGATCCTGGGGTCCTGGGATCGAGCCCTGCATCATGCTCCCTGCTCCGTGGGGAGCCTGCTTCTCCCTCTCCTGCTCCCCCTGCTTGTGTTCCCTCTTTCGCTGTCTCTCTCTGTCAAATAAATAAATAAAATCTTTATAAATAAGTAAATAAATAATAAAAAGAATGGAAATTTCTCTTTACAGAAGAATGTCAGTTAATAAATGCAGAGAGAATGATAGAAAACAATCACCATTTTGCAACTCCTAGTAAAATAATTAATTGAGGGAAAGATAATCATTGGATACAAAAACACTGGATGAAATGTTATGGAAAACAGGATATTCACATGGTCTCAAGGTATGCACCACAAATTACTTACTAATCACAAAGAAAAGAAAGTACTCTTATAATGAGCAATCTGGCACACACCACGGTAATGAGGTAATTTCCTTTAACATCAGCGGGAATGAGACAAACTGACATAATTTGGGTGCTTACTGATATGATGTTAATGGTAAATATACAATATCACTTTACTGGTCTGTTTATTCTGAATATATCCATGAAGACACAATCAGATAAATCCAGATAAATTCAAATTGTGGGGCTCTCCAAACATGTTAATGGCAAAAAAGGCATTGGGGTTGTTTTGATTAAGGAGAGAAAAGAGACAAGATAACTAACAGAAAAGCATAATCCTGATTGGTTCATGTTGGGGGAAAAAAAAAAGGAATATTTGGGGGAATAAGTGAAAAATGTTGAATATGGATTACACATTAAGTAATATTAATATATCAATGTTCAATTTCTTAAGAGTTATGTCTAAGAATGTTCTTGTAGGTAATACCCAACCACAACTATCTGTGCAGATCTAAAATGTTTCAACATAGAAAAAGGGAATTTTAGTGTCAAATGGAAAAGTATAAATTCTAGGAGCTCCTGGTGGCTCAGTCAGTTAAGCATCCAACTCTTGATTTCGGCTCAGGTCATGACCTCAGGGTCATGAGATCAAGCCCCGTGTCAGGTTCTGCGCTCAGCGTGTGGAGTCTGCTTGAGATTCTCTCTCGCCCTCTGCCTCTGCCTCCCCCGCAACTTGTGCTCTCTCTCCAAATTAAATAAAATCTTTAAAAAAAGTATAAATTCCAATCCAAATTAAGCTTTAAAGCCATGCAGAAGAGCCCATCAGTGATTAGTTTATCCTGTTTTAAGGAGGGCAATAAATCAAGGAAACCAGAGGCTGTGTTTGTAAGCTGCTTCATTATAGTTTTTCAACAATTCTAAGTTCAGAAAAAAATTACATGTATCCTCAGCAAAGAGATGCTATTACTTTTTAGTCTGATGATAGTGGAAAGCAATAAAAGAGAGAAACACCTATGAGAGAAACACTGGTTTTAAAAATATGAATAATTCCTGTTTGAGATCTAGGTCTAATTAATTTTAAAAATTATCTGCAGTGTTGTGCAGACTATTAAAGAAAAGCATACAGGGAATAGAGAGGTAATCTTTAACAATCTGCAATTAGCTCACATGTCATATACAGAATGAACTCATTACAATGAAGAAAGGGGATACAGTGCCTTTGTGAAAATTAGAAAATATTGATCAAATTCCTGGAATATACATAGCTCAATTTTATTATAAAGAATTATGGGACACATCAACCCATCACTCTCTTAAAGTAAATACAACCAGATACATAAGAAAGTATTATTTTCTGTTTATATTTACTTTGGAGAAACTGAAGCAGAGAAAAATGAGATCACAATCATTGCTTCAACTAGTTCTAAACGTTTCATTTTTCTTACTTAAGACTTCAGTACTTAAAGATTTTTATCCTCACAAGCTAAATACATCTTGTTGAAGGTATCAACGTGATAAAAATAATTAACATAGAACAGCTATATAACAGAAGAAGAGAAAGAATAATTAAAACAGAAAAACTGATGCCATTATCAGCTAGCTTCAGGAGAATCAAGAAGCAAAATAGTGTCATAAACTAAGTTTTATTAAATTGATAGAAGAAACCAAGAGTTTCTCAAAAAATAATACTTAAGAGTGATTTCTAGTTACTGATAGTAGAGTAAAATCATTTTTCTACTCTCTTCCCTTAAAAAACAAAAATAGAACAAAAAGTAGAGGGGAGAAAATGAACTTCAAAAACAAGGAATCAACTAAAACATCAAACTCAAGATTATGTATGTCAAATGCTGAGGATAAATCAAAATGAAGAAGGAACCAGACAGCTGTCATCTTAGACCATTAACAAAAACCAAATTGCCCTTAAAATCAATTGTAAAACTTTAGACCAGCTATCCAATGATTCTTTGCTTAGCGCTGAAATGAGGAGACATGGATGAGCCAGAGAAGAAGCTAATAAAATGTTTAATGCTCCAGAATCACAACAAAGAAAAACTGAAGGAGAAATCATAATAAAATCATATTTACACTGTATAATAAGTAGCCCGCTAGTTTGGGGAGACTCTTAGAGGTAAAAATGAGGTGAAAGAGGAAAGAAAAGCAGAGAATGTGGGGTTTCCACACAAAAATTGCCTAAATGGCTTTATGGGGACTCACACTAAGCTCTAGAATGATCGAAAATTTGATGAAAGATGTGTTTCCAAGATAGAAGGAAATAAGTTGGTGAATGGTTACTATAGATAACAAACTTAATCCTAGTTATAGACTGCCCTAGTCTCTCCCTACGACTACCCCTGTATTACTCTTCAGCAAACAGCAGTACCTTTCAAAGATGAGTAACAATCAGAAACAAATAATACAGGACCTAACACAGATTGAGAGGGAAGGAAGAGGGGGAAGGAAAAGAATTTAAGTTGCCAAAGAAATTCCCAAAGGAAACAACGGGAAGAATTATAGTTTTCCACTGTCTCAAAGTAACTATAGGGAACATTCTTAGTGTAAATATATAACAGAGATTAAGAACACATTATGAATAACAAAACAATATAATGATTAAGGGTGAAAATATAATCAGAAATGGGAAATGAGCAAGAGGAAATTGTACAAAATGAAATAAATTTCAAAGATATAAAATATAATAATTACAGAAAAGATATTAGAAATGGAAAACAAATAAGATGTTACATGTGCATAATGTTCCTAAAAAGAACAAATGGAAAATAAAAATATTCAAATATGCAATTAAAGTAAACTTATAAAAGAGAACATACTCTAACTCAGAAAGAAAATGATATAGAGCATTCAATGCCAAGATATATCCTAAAGAAATTACTAGACTTCAAAGGTAAGGAAAGATCCATATGGACATTGTTAAAAAATAAAATTCAACTGAGTAAATTTTAAAGATCTTACTGGCTTTTAGTCAATCTTACTGGCTTTTATTCAGGAGCTGTATGAAATGAGAGATTTTTATAGGTAGAAGGGAGCAGGAACAGAGAAGTTACACTAGACAAAAAAAAAAGCAAATTGGTTATGGCAAGGTCACTTTCCTTTAAGGGGCAGGAGGGCAGAATTACCTCTCTAGTACTAGTACTAATTAAGTAATTCCTGATTGGTTTAAGATTCCATTTCTGAGAAAGGCTGAAACTGTAATTAAGTTATGTCTCAATTTGGTGATGTGGGGTTTAGCATAAGTGACTCCATTTAGGGTCAGTTGTCTTACTTTTAACAACGTCAAAGAAGAAACAAGTGAGGTATGGGGGTAAAAATCTGAGTTAGCAACTTCCATTTCTGGTTCCAACTGTGAGGAGCCTCTAAGTTGCCACTCTGTCCTAACAACAAGTTAAATGACGAACAGACAAGAAATCAACAACCTTCTTGGACCTGTAAGAGAGGGGAGGACACATGGCAAACCATTGCTCCCAAGATAAGAGAGACTGACAGGTGAATACAGGAAGTCTCCACGTATGGGAGCAGAGCCTTGTTAGCAGAAAACAGACAGTGGGAGCCAGTGCTAGGGAAGGAAAACCTGAACTGTAACTGATGATAGAGGCTCAAAGTGGGCAACTCTGAGAATTAAAAGCTCCAGGCGTACCCAGTTATAGGAGGACCACAATATTTGAGATTTGCATCCAGGAGCCCAAGTAGGTTCCCACAGTAAATAACGGGGAAAAATCCCTTCATGCCTCCAGCAGGAGGAAGAAAAAAAGAACCGTCTTGAAATACACCAGAGAACTCTATTCTCAACAAGGCCTGCCCTGAGGGGAAACTAGTTAACCAGAGCCTGACCCTCTGGGGTATTATAAGAACCTAAATGACCTGGGGAAGGGAAATACCCAACTCCAGCCCACTCTGGGCATTCTCTCCCACATGAGGGAGGAAAAAAAATTAGTATGCTTGTGAAGTTCAAGTACAAAGGCATAGGCTCACTGGAAAAACTGAGACCCAACGGTAGCACTTTATTTCCACTGGAGGAAAGACTGTTTTCACTTTTTCACTAATACAAATAATGATACAATAAAAATTCATATATATATATGACAGAGTTTCTCTAGGGTATTATTTTTCTAACAGAAATTATAAGATCACAAGGTACACACAGTTTTAACCTTAGAGAACAATTTGGTAAAACTGAGTGAAGTGGCTGAACCATTTCATTCTCCTACAATCAGCATATAAGAGTTTCTGCTCGGGGCGCCTGGGTGGCTCAGTTGGTTAAGCGACTGCCTTCGGCTCAGGTCATGATCCTGGAGTCCCTGGATCAAGTCCCTCATCGGACTCCCTGCTCGGCAGGGAGTCTGCTTCTCCCTCTGATCCTCCCCCCTCTCGAGCGCTCTCTCTCTGTCTCATTCTCTCTCTCAAATAAATAAATAAAATCTTTAAAAAAAAAAAAAAGAGTTTCTGCTCTCATCCAACACTTAATTCTTAGATTTTGCCAATCTCATGATTGAGAAATTGTATCTTGTCTTATCTGTATTTCCCTAATAACCAGTTCATCCTCTAAAAAGAAGCTGAACATATTTTCCCATTTATTAGATATGTTCTTCTGTTAACTCCCTAATCATATTCTTATTTTTTCAATTGAGTTATCTTTTTCTTATTGAATTATAAGCTTCTGAAATACATCACAGATAATATTTTCCCCTTAAAATTCTATCAATTTTATATATTTTAAATTTTTTGGAACAATCTTAAACATACAGAAAATTTGAAAGCATACTAAAAAAAAATTTCCCCGAATCATTTGTTAATAAGTTACTGACATGATGCTCCATCACCCTTGAAATATTTTAATGTGTATTTCCAAAAAACAAGGACATTCTAATCCATAATCTCAATATAACCAACAAAATCAGCAAATTAACATGAATATTGCCAATGTCACATTTAAAAAACTAAAAATAATAGTGATTATTCTTTTAAAAATAATCAAGAATTGATGCTTAAGGTTTCTACATTAAATCACAGTATCCACTCCTCAACAGATGATAATAAGGCTTTAAAATTCTTTATTCTTTCAACAAAAAGGTTGTACATTAGGATTGACAACATGTGAATAATTGCTTTCATTTTTTTTCCTTTTCTTGACAACACAAGAGGGAATGAGATTAAACTGCTCCTGGAAATTTAAACATTAGATCAAACTTTCTGAGAATAATTGCTGGGAAAAGCTGAGAGGGAAATCTCCTTTGGCAATTTCTTTTCAAAGCTCCCCTTCTGGGACAGTCTTAATACAGATCTATTCAGAGGCTAGGGCTAACCTTTAAAAATCCCTTTAAGATCTAAGATTCTTTTATCTCTTTTTATCTAGTGCAGCTTATTTATGAGTGGCATATATTTGTGTTATTTAAGGCTATGTTTATATAGCAAATATAAAAACAATACTCACTGTAAATATTTTTTTAGTATAAGCCATGTATGAGGAACTCTGTTATTAATTCTATATGCATTATTATTTTTTAGGACGACTCTGATGACAGAGCAGCTTCTTCAATAGAAAAATGGGAAGAGGGGCGCCTGGGTGGCTCAGTTGGTTGAGCGTCCAACTCTTGGTTTCAGCTCAGGTCATGATCTCAGGGTCATGGGATCAAGCCCTGCATCAGGCTCTGTGCTGTCCCTCTCCCTCAGCTCCTCTCCCCACCCCCTCAAGCTCTCTAAAATAAATAAAAATCTTAAAGAAAAATGGAAAGAGAAAAACTGGAGACAGTAAGTATACACAACAACTTTGGGGAATTTTTCTGTAGTCTGAAGAAACAAAATGGGGGAGCAGAGCTGAAGAAGGAAACGTAGTCAAACATAGATGTGTCTTTAAGCAGAAGAAGGTACACTAGCACAACTGAATGTAACAGGAAAGAAATTTAAAGAAGGAAAACTGACTACATGGCAGACAGAGGGGATCTGCTAAAGCAATGCCCTTGGGACATCGGACTAAGAGTAGAGTACTTGGTCTTTGCTAGGTGCAAGCACAGCTCATTCATATTAATAGAAGAGAAAAGAGAATACAAGGAGAGAAATGCAGAGATATGTTGGCTAGATGAGAGGTATATATAACTTGTGGTCTTTCCTATCTCATCTCTGAAGGGTGTTTTATACATGAATGCCATCAGCAGGTACATCTTGGCAGGAAAAAAAGTTGCAGACTGCTATTGTGGGGCTACTCCTCTCTCACACCTTTCTTTTGTAGTTTTTTTTAGATTTTGCTATGGTTGTAACGTTCCCAAAGGTTTTATCAGTTTCTAAGTCCACAGTTAGCCTTCTTTGCTCCTGAATACCAAAATTATTCTAAGGAAAATAATTCTAAGGAAAAGCCCAAAAAGCTAAGGGAGAAATTGCATTTCCTTAAAAAATATTTTCTGCCTCAAGAAGTACATGTGAGGATAAGGATTTCAGAAAGAAAAATGTTCCTTTTTTTTTCTTGCATCTGTTTCCTCTGAACTAAGTGGAGCCACAGTTTATAGATTTTTTTCTAGAAGTTCTGAATATACCAATTGGCCAATTCAACTCACTGATTAGACAAAAAAAGTTATAAATACATTCTGAAACATAATTTCTTCTCTCATTTTCTGTCTACTAAAAAATGAGTCATTAGACTGCTTTGAAACTTAAGTGTTTCACATACTATTCAAAGGACTTCTTGGTTATAAATAAATAAAGCAGCTAAATATAAACCATAGCCATACCTCTCACAGCTGACTGCGAAGGCTGAGTCAGAACTTTGATGTCTAACGCACTGTTGATATGTTCTTCTAAAGTAGCACAATATCCATCCACAACATTGGTAATCGTATCCTTCAAAGTTCCAAGATTATGGAAAACCTGAAGAGCTGTTCCGACTTGGGTTGGATTCTTTAAAAAGGTGGGGGTGGCAGGGTGGCAATAGGTATAAATAGGAAAACAAACAAAATCAATATAAATCTACAACTTTAAGCAGTACATGAGCAGTTATTACCATATTTTTAAATTATCACAAGAACAAAGAGAGTGCATTTGGAACAAATATTATTTTTAGTCATTATTTATTTCATAAAAGACAAGGTTAAATACTATGTATATTATTTCCCCCTTTCCCCTTTTTCTCCTTCTTTAAAGGATAATAACAAAATCAGAAATCAGTTCTATTATTAGAGCTTATTTAAAATTTACCACCAATGCCTATAAAGAGAGCCATGCTGGAATTAACAACAACCCTACATCTATTTGGAGAATAAATAAATGAATTCCGCAGAGTTAATTGAGGGCTGAACCATGCAGACTGACACTATTCATTTTCTTTTTCTTTTCTTTTCTTTCTTTCTGTCGTTCATTCATTCATTCTAACCACAAATATTCATACAGTGCTTACTGTGTAACTGTCTTGGTTCCAGGTGCTGGAAATATAGTAGTTAAGCAAAACCAATTAAGTCCCTACCCTCATGGAACTTATGTCTCCCGAGAAATATATTAAAAATATATATGTAACAGAGTATCACAGGTAGTGATAATTGCTATAAAAAAAACCAGGGAATAAGAATAGAGAATCATGGGGAAATAATGGAGAAGACTCAGAGAATGCATCTCTGAGGTGATTTTCAGAGACCTGAATATAATGAGCAAGGGAGTCTGAGGAGGATATGGGGAAAAACAGATCTGAACAGATATCAACAAAAGTGCTGAGGTAAAAATATGCTTGGCAGCTAATCAAACAGCAAGAAGGCCCTGACTGTGGCTGGAACAGAGTGACTACAGCAGAGAGAGGTAGGCGGCGAGGCAGGTAGTAAAAACACCATGAGTAGATGGAGTCCATAGTAATATAAAGAGGTTGTTGACTCTGTCACTAAGTAAATGAATTATCAAGCCAGAATCTAGTACATCAACATATATCTCCAGGCCCAAACAGGTGAAAGTCCGCTTTCACTTAATGATTCAGTGACTGTTATTAGAAGCACTTAGTTTAAAAGTTAAATTACTTCATTAACTTAATTTCTTAACGGTTAAGTTGATAAATAAGACAAAAAGTTACTCTGAAACATATTGGTGTTAATAACATGATGCAGTAACACACACACACACACACACACACACACACACACACACACACACACACCACCCCCCCCGAGGCAAAGCAGAATCAGCTTATAGAAAAAAGCAGACAAGGTTAGTGAATACAATACCCATTTTAGATTTTTAATTAAACAAGAAAAAGAAGCAAATGGACATCATTTCAAATGTTTTAATGAAAAAAGCTTAATTTAATATGGTTATAACAGAATTTAAATTCTAGTATGTACTGTCAATTCTCTATCAGTGAACTATCAAAGAAAATGGGAGAAAATAAGCTATTTCACATAAAATTGTTAACTGAAAACATGGGGTATAGCGCCATGCTTTGGTTGTTGTTAGTTCCATTTTTTCCTTTCTCCAAAGCGATAATACTCTTCTACCTTTTAGTAGAGATCAAGATCAAAATTAGACAGCTGCAAAGAGTTTTCCTCTATCACTATACCAGTGTCTATATAATACAAAAAAAAAAGCATTACCTGAACAACCTCAAAGAATTCACTTTATAAAAGTAGAATAAAGATACTTATTGCAAAATCATATTTATTGCCTTTACTATTCTCAAAGAATCTGAAAAGCATAGCTTTTCAACATATGGCAGGTTTGCGTGTTATCAGCTGAATGAATGTACATCGTAAGATATATGTATATGTTAACTGGAAGACTTAAAGTCATCTTTCACTTGAAAGATCTGGTTAACATGGACCAGTCTTCATCATTTCCCACTCCAAAAATTATTAACTCCCCCAAACTTTTCAATACAGAGACATATACAGCTCTTTCCTTTTTTTTTTTTTTTAACAAGGGAGGAGAATGATTTAAAGATTTATTTATTTTTAGAGAGAGAGAGAGCTCACAGGGGGATGGGTGAGGGACAAGCAGACTCCGACCTGAGTGCAGAGCACAGAGCCTGACTGGAGCTGAAATCAAGAGTGGGCTGCTTAACACACTGAACCACCCAGGCACCCCTACCTCATTCTTAAAGAAGCATCTAATATGGCAATACTTGAAATAATTATAATTCTTATAATAATTCTAGTTGTAATTTTAAGCTTTCCAATTTACATGACCACTTTTTCAATTAATGCCAGTTACATTCATAGCTTAATATAAACATATTATTTGTGAGTTGGGAAACTATAAAATATTATTTGGGACTGCAGGAGATTATGCTAAGTGAAATAAGTCAAGCAGAGAAAGTCAATTATCAAATGGTTTCACTTATTTGTGGAACATAAGGAATGGCATGGAGGACATTAGGAGAAGGATGGGAAAAATGAAGGGGAAATTGGAGGGGGAGATGAACCATGAGGGACTACGGACTCTGAGAAACAAATTGAGGGTTTCAGAGGGGAGGGGAGTGGGGTGATGGGTTAGCCCAGTGATGGGTTTTAAGGAGGGCCTGTATTGCATGGAGCACTGGGTGTCAATGAATCATGGAACACTACATCAAAAACTAATGATGTACTGTATGGTGACTAACATAATAGAATTAAAAAATAATAAAAAATAAAATTTTAAAAAAAGAAATAAAATTCTTTAACATATAGAGGAGTGGGCAAATTATGTAAACACAACTTTAAGAATTATCACAAAGTGAACATATCTGTGTAACTACCATGTAGGCTATAAAACCAAATTATTATCAGCAACTCTGAATCTATTGTGGCTTCCCCAAATACATCTCTCCAGATATTACCACTATCATAATTTCTAACACCATTGATTAGTTTTCTCTGTTTCTGAATTTTACATTAATGGAACCATAAAGTAAGTTATTAGTTTCTGTCTGCCTTCTAGTCAATATCTTATTTGTAAAATTCATCCATGTTGTTGCATGTAGCAGTAGTTGACTTGTTTTCACTGCTGTTGGAAATTTACCTTAGTTTATCTACCCAACTAACGTCCAATTGGTGTACATTTGAGTTATTTCCATTGTTTAGGTATTTTAAATAATGCTGCCATGAACATTCTGGTGCACAGCTTTTAGTGAACATATATGCATATGCATTTCTGCTGGGTAAGAGTAGAAATGCTGAATCATTAGGTATTTGTATGCTTAGTGTTTGCAGATTCTGCCAATTTTCCAAAGTCATTGTACGAATTTACACCCCAGCAGCAATACATGAGTTGTGGGTGTTCTACAACCTTACCAAAATTCAAAATTATCATCTTTTTAAGCTATTCTTTGGAATGATCAGTGTGGTTTTAATTTACATTTCCGTGATGACTAGGAAGTTATCCCTTCTTGCATGCTAATCATCCATTTGGATAGCTTCTTTTATGAAGTGCATATTCATTTTTTTTTGCCCGTTTTTCTCACTGGTTATTTTCATCTTTTACCTATTTGTAAAAGTTGTTTACATATTTGGATGTAATCACTTTGATAATTATATGTATTGCAAGTATGTTCTCCCACACTTAAGAAGTTTGTGAGTTAAAGAAGTTCCTAATTTAAATGCAGTCAATTTTATCAACCTATGGTCAGCACTTTTAGTATCTTATTTAAAACTTTTCCCATCCCACATTTATGAAGATGTCTTTCATTCATGAATTCATCCTCTAGAAACTCGATTGGTTTGCCTTTCACGTTTAGAAATATAATCCGCCTGGAATTGCTTTCTATATGAGATAGAAGCCAAGATTAGTGTTTTTCTATACAAAATACCCAACTGGCCCATCAAAATTTATTTGAAAAAACAAACAAGGAAGTTAAAATTTTCACCTCCTTGCCCTCAAAGCCTACCTTTGCAGTAAATAAAGTTTCCATTTATGTGTTTGTTTCCGGACCTTCAATTCTGTACCATTTGTCTATCCTCATTACGTCAATTGACCTGTGTAAATTGTTGTAGCTTTAGAATAAGTCTGATAGTCCTCCATTTCTGTTCTTCTTCAATTTGGTATAGGCTATTCTTGGTTCATGATACTTCCATATAAATTTTATAATGGGCTTGACAGTTTCCATTAAAGAAAAAGCTCCTGAAATTTTGAGACTACATAAAATCTATACATAAAATTAGAAAGAATGGAAATCTTTATAAGAATGATTCTCCAATCCATGAATATGGTAGTTCTCTTCAATTACTCAGGTCTTCTTTAATTTCTCTTAATAAGTTATAGTTCCTGTGAAGAGCTATTACATATCTCTAATTTGAATCATTCCTACACATTTAGTGTTTTTTGATATTTAAGTGGTAATTTTAAAGTTTTTTTTTGTTGCTTGTATACTAAAAATACAGTTGATTGTTATATATTGAATTTTACCAAACTTTGAAAGTTCTGTTATTAATTCTAATAGTTTGGAGATTGTTTTGGATTTTCTATATACATAATCGTTATTTCTGAATAATTTTATTTGTTCATTTCCAATCCTTCTATATTTTATTGCTTTTCTTATTACCCTGGTTAGGATCTTCAGTATGTTGATATGTAAAAGTGGTAAGAGTAATATCTTTGTATCATTCCTAATCTCAAGTAGAAAACCTTAAATATTTCACTACTGAGATTTTCAGAGATACCTTTTATTAGATGAAGACAATTCTATTCTAGGTCTGCTAAGAATTTTTACATCATAGACTGATGTTGGATTGTATTAAATGCTTTTTCTGCATATACTGAGATGATTAATTTTTCCCTTCATTGATGACATTACATTGTACTTCTAGACTAAAGCCATCTTGGTAAGGATGAATTATCCTTTTTAGATATCCTGACTTATATTTGCTAATACTTTCTTTAGTATTTTTTAATTGATTTTCAAGAGAGATAGCTAATATCCTTCCTTATAATATTCTTGTTTTGATATCAAG